GTTTTTTTTTTTATGTTGTTTTGCCATATGCTGCCAGAACAGTGTGTCAGAGGGGAGGGAGCGTTGAGTCATATTTTGATGTCGGCTGATGTCGAGGACCTCGTGAATGACGTTGAGTTTATGTTGCAACCGAAGAAGCTCCTCCTTTTTCAGGGAGTGGCCGAGAAAAAAATCTGATTCGGCCCTTTTATTCAATGTTTGGGGGGGAAGAATCAACATCCCCGTTAGTTTTTTGGTTTAAATGGGCAAGCGAATGGGAAGCATAGGTTGCCAGACATGCAATCACAATAGTATAAAAGGTAAAAAAGATGAAAAGAGGCAGCTTGGTGTGTGAGAGTCTTTTCCTTTTTCTGCAAGAACTCGATTCGAACAATGAAAAACAAAAAATGAACACTTTGTTTTTTTCTCTTTGAGTAAACCTTTGCTGACCTGACCTTTTGCTTCGCGCACCTTTTCATTTTGCACAGCACCGCCCACGGCATGTAAAAACCGCCGAGGGTTCCGCGCCGAATCGGTTAAAAAGGCCCCGCTGGCGGAAACTTTGCGCCGCAGATTGGAACGGGCAGAGAACGAAACATTTTGACCGCTCCTCTGGCCGCCCTCTTCCGAGCCGAGGCTGGGCGTAGGAAGGAACACCAGAAGGACGAAGTGTGCACGAGCACGGCGAGCCTTTGGCCAGGTGGTTGGTGGTGGGGTCTCGCTTTTATTGATTCTCATCCTCCGAACATCCTCCTCTGTGTTTGGCCACTGAGAGCAGCGTGGGGTGTTTCAGAGATGGAGAGAAGCAGGGAAACCTTTGCCACTCTATCCTCCTTTCTCGGTTTTTCTTTCCTCCGCTCCCACCGGAGAAGCCGGCCCATTATTATGCATTTTGCTTTATTTTACTGCATCGATTCGGAGTCGTTGGAAAAAGGCCCTGCGGGGACGGCACCTGAGTTTTCCTCCGCCTGCTGGGCTGTGTGTGTTTATGTGTGAGAACAGCAGGGCCTCCGCCTCTTACCCGGTCAATGCATCCCAGAGGGAAATTTAAGTGTCAG